CTTTTGTTGGGTAGGCCCAAGGGGTATGTTAGATTCAAGATGTGGAGGAGAAGTCAGGCTGAAGGTCACCTCAATTCATGGGGATGTGTAGGGCATCTTCAAGCGGGGTTCAGGGTTTAGGGTTTAGGGTTTAGGGTTTAGGGTTTAGGGCTAAGGAAGAGCTTGAAGGGTAGCATGAAACGGGGGTACTTAGGTTATCTTGGCTCACGTGAGGGGATACGACTCTTGCTTTGCACCCCCTAAGAACCGAAAGCCCTGAGAACGCACACACACACACAAACCCCTATAGCCGTAGTTCTTCTTGGTAGCGCAGTGGTACCCTTTTCCCTTGTTTTGGTTCAAGGGTTCCTTATGAAGTAACCAACCCAAGAAAGGGCACCCTTATTCTAATATGGTTACTGGGCCCCTTAACCTAAACCCTAAACCCTCCCCATCTCACGCGCCAAGATCATGAAGATGAACATTCCGAACCAGGCGCTGCCAGTAGCAAGGGATTAAGACTGGTACCCCTAAGGTTGTACCCCGCAAAGTTCCCCCTGAATGCACTCCTAACAAGGCCTGAAGGTTTAGGGTTTAGGGTTTAGGGTTTAGGGTCTAGTGTTTAGGGATACGGATGCTCCTAATATGGCCCCTATATTCCCTTAAGGATCCTATTAAAAAAATGAGGGGTCCCCCAAAACCCAAGGGTAGAACCTTAAGGCTGCAAGGCACCACCCCTTGACGGTTTAGGGTTTAGGGTTTAGGGTTTAGGGTTTAGGGTTTAGGGTGTAGGGTCTCCTCAGGGAGGAGGTGTTACCTGCTTGGGGGTCAAGGTGGTTGAGGCGTTTTTGACTCGCCTCCTAAGCCCGAAACCCTAAACCCTAAACTCTAAATCCCAAGCCCGAAACCCTAAACCCGAAACCCCAAACCCAAAACCCAATGCGTTTGTTTGGCTGTGGTGCCTGTCAAGATTGCGAGCTGCAACTCCAGCGTTTGGCTGTCACTGCTTGCATGTAATCGTGGCATCCCGAAAACGTAGCCTCAACGGGAGCTCCCCCCTTTAGGGTTTAGGGTTTAGGCTTTAGGGTTTAGGGTTTAGGGTTAGGGTTTATGGTGTAGGGTTTAGGGTTTAGGGTTTAGGGTTTAGGGTTTAGGGTTTAGGGTTTAGGGTTTAGGGGATTCCAGGTTAACCCCTTTCCCGAAACCCTTCAACCTGAATCCTAAACCCTGAAACCCTAAACCCTTGAACCCAAGCCCTAAAACTCAAAACGTTGACATGCTAACCAGGAACTGCACACCTTCAAGATGCACAATCCTTATGTGGTTTGTATATGGTTTGTGGTGTTTAGAGTTTTGGGTTTAGGGTTTAGGGTTGCTGAAGCTTCTCGCTAATCCTTCGACCAGACTCTACACGCCGAACCTTGACCTGGGTTTTAGGCGGTTTTCGGGTTTAGGGTTTACGGTTTAGGGGGGTCGAGGGTTTAGGGTTTAGGGTGCCGGGCTCTGGGCTCGGATGATGGCATTTCGCGGGTCTAGGGTTTTCGTGGTTTCCGGCAGCTACCGGGCAGGTGTCGATCAAGATCAAGTGAGCGCCAACGGCCTCATCACAACCTGAGCCACGGTGAGACCTCAAAGCAGTATGCCCAACTAGGGCTCAGGGTAGTCCAGGCTTCCCAGTTCTACTACAACCCTTACGCAACCCCTATATATGAACCTCTGGTGCCCCCTGTGCATCAAATTGTGAAGCCTTGTAGCAGGTACCCCCCCCTGTAAGCCCAACTAGCCCTGTAGCATCTGAACGGTTCAAAGGCGATAGGCTTCCAGGACAACGCCGTACGATACCCGTGGCTGGCTTTACTAGTACTCGGAGTAGGCCCTTTTTGCCTGTTTTTAGGTGATAGGTTCCCCTAGGATCCTGTTTAAACCAAACGGTTACTCTTGGGTTAATCCCTAAACCCTAACCCTGAACCCCAAAAGCCCTGTAAAGCTGTTGAGGTTGGTAGTCGAACACCTCCCAGTCATGTGCCCCGAGCTCACGTGGATAAGTTGCTGCAGTCTTCAGCTCGCTGGCAAAGGAACTACGTGCCAACTGCTTGATGAAATCCATGTTGATGGCTTGTTTGGGCTGAGGGTTTAGGGCTTAGGGTTTAGGGCTTAGGGTTTAGGGTTTAGGGTTTGGCGTTTAGGGTTTAGGGTTTAGGAATACAGGTCAAAATCTAGGGTTTTGGGCCTCTTGGCTTCGAAAAGAATAGGGGGCTCCCTTTCTGCAGGAGGATCAGGACTCGAGTTATTTTTCTTCCCGGGTACAATCGAATGCCACATGGACTTTTTTGTGCATTGGAGGGTAGGGTGTTTAAGGTGCCAGGGATGTGGCGATGCTGCAGTAGGGCACTCTGCATGAGTCTCAACGCTTTACCGGTTGCCTCCCATCTGGCTTTGACGCTCTTGGCCCAAAGCTCTTGGCACCAGCTAGGGTTTAGGGTTTAGGGTTTAGGGTTTAGGGTTTAGGGTTTAGGGTTTAGGGTTTAGGGTTTAGGGTTTAGGGTTTAGGGTTTAGGGTTTAGGGTTTAGGGTTTAGGGTTTAGGGCCTGACTTAGGGCTGTCCCCTTAACATACCGGATGGCATGGTTTCCAAAAGATCACATGATGTTGAGCGCTCCTCTTGTGATAGGTTCGCTGGCATTTTTTGTGCGGTTTATGTGCTCTGTGTCCCAGGGGCTTTTGCCGACAATATTTTTCGGGCTCAAGACCGTGTATACCTCCTCGAAGACAACCCGCAATCGACTCCGCAGGTTTAAGCTTCATCGAACCTTCAGGAGGTGGTGTGACCGCAAGTCATTGAATGTGCAGACCCCACGGGTCCATGTACCTCATGATTGTATACTTAGGCCCCAAAGTCCTTATATAGGAAGTACCTTGAGGCCAAATATTCCCTATTCAGGTACATTGTCCCTTAGGGAGCGCAGGTAGTTTGCCAGAGCGAAGATCTCATGCCCAAGCGACAGCGGCAGCGCAGTTGCTCTTCTTCGTCCAACACCTCCTCAACCCACAGACGAGGCTGGGTCCCCGACATATGAAAGCGGTTTTAGGGTTTAGGGTTTAGGGTTAGGGTTTTAGGGTTTTTGGGTTTTACGGTTTATTTGTATCAAGACCGCTAAGCCCTAAACCCTAAACCCTGAACCTTGACTCCTTAACCCTATAAAGCCCTGACCCTCAACCTTAACCTCCGGGATGCTAGAGCATGAAGCCTGCTGACCAGACGAGGGTCCTATTCCGCGAAGCTTGGACCTAGTTTGTCAGTCTTTGAAGAGTGGTGCCCCCCCCCCCCCCCCCCAAGTTTGAAGCAGTGTAGTGGTGGGGTTGCCTTGAGTACTAAGCCAGGGTTGAGAATATGCGCACGTCTCACTTCTTGCAACCTTTACATAAGCCGCAAGCTGTCATCACAACGGTTGAACCCTAAACCCTAAACCCCAACCCCAAACCCTAAACCCTACACAAAAGTGAATGCTCGAGTTCGTATTCCCACAACAAGCCAGGACTTCTGCAGGCCGCACGTGCTGCCTTGGAAAGATGCAAACAGGAGGTGGTCCCTCCCATTCCTCTCTTCCCGCCTTGGTCTGTTCCCGTGCCTCCGCCCCCTCCTCCACGAATGTGCCATGTCCTGTCTAATTCTACCAAAACTCCTCCCACATCTCCTGCCTCCTCTGACCTGCCTGCTTCTTCCATGGTTCCTTCTCCCACATCCCTTGTCTCCACCTTGCTTGGTTCTCCTTCCACCTTTGTTCCCGCCCCCGCGCCTCACGGCTTATCCCCGTCCTCAATCCCCATTCCCGTCCCTCCTTCAATCCACGGGTCAGCACCTTGGGCAAATTGGGCAAAACTTCCCCGATGGACGGCTCGAAAAGAGGACCGAGGGCCTTGGAACTGGCCAGCGTGTTTAGGGTTTGGGATTGAGTGTTTAGGGTTTAGGGAGCGAAGCAATGTGGGTGTTTACGAAAATAGGGGGCACCAATTATAGACCCCCAAATAGTAGGATGCCCTTATAAAAGGGATCCCAAGAAGGTACCCCCGAATTTCGGAGACGACCATGTCCCAATCCATTGTTCTACCTAATTCTCTGAGGGGTAGGTTTCAGCGTCAGAGACCGGCCTGTGTATTTCCCTTCGAGCTATCGGGTTTAGGAGTTTCGGGTGTAGGGTTTAGGGTTCAGGGTTTAGGCCCAAACTGCAAGCTCCCGTGAGGATGCACACCATGGGGTGGCTCTCAGACCTTTCCACGGGCCTCAACACTGGATAACAGGGCGGGGTAATCTCAGTAGTGTGTCTTCTAGCGAGTATTAGTAGTTGTACCTGGCCCAGCCGTTTGTGTCTCAGTACTACCTCCTTGATATCCCGCATAGGCGCTAGAGGCTTGCCAGGGTGTGGGATTGGTCATATTCTGGGTTTAGGGTTTATGGCTGTGATCCTTTCTTTCGGATTGCTATGCTCATCCTGCAGACCAAGCTCTAAATCGCGAAGCCCGGGAGATTGCCCTAGTGGATACCGCTTGGTATGACATGACGTGCTCCTGGGGACACCCCTAAACTTTTTCGTAGCTGGGTACCATTTTTCATTTTTAAGGGTATTCAGGAATAAACAGTTCAATTTTTAAGATTATCCCAACCATGAACTAGTACATCCATAAATCCCCAAACCCCTAAACCCCTGAACTTTCTCTTACGGTCATCCCTCGCTGCTTGTGAGGAGACAAAGCTCAAAGACTACGCCTCTACCTTGCAACTTAGTAGCCCAGGGGTACCCTTTATCCCTCTTTTCGGGTTTCTGGGTTCCTTTCTAAAGTAACCAACCCATAAGAGGGTGCACTTATCATAAAATCTTACTGGGCCCTAAACCCTAAACCCTAAACCCTAAACCCTAAACCCTAAACCCTAAACCCTAAACCCTAAACCCTAAACCCTAAACCCTAAACCCTAAACCAGGCAGGGATTGCTACAAGAAGACACCTGGGACTTTTCTACGCTGATGGAGTTGCAGCAGCAAGTGTCTCAGACCTTGCTGACAGCCGCTAGCGACAAGGAAACACGGGAGCGGGGGCAAAGGGAAGCTGCGGAGTCCAAGCTCAAAAGCGCAGTTGCAGTACTTGAGTCCAAGCTTGAAGACACGCGCGTGAAGTTAGAGGCGGAGAGACTTGAAAGAACGCAAACTGAGTACGAGCTGAAATGCACGCTCGCCAAACTAGAGAAGGAGGAACTTGTAAGAAAAGCAGCTGAGGCCGAGCTGAAAATCACATGCTCTGAATTAGAGAGGGAGCGCGAGCAAAGAGAAGCTGCCGAGAAGCGAGTTCTTGATTTGCAGCAGCAAAAGCACCTAGCTCATCATGGAGCTTGCTGGCAGTATGAGATGGACGGCCACTGGCATCCTTTCTCGCCAGAGGGAAACTCTGTGGTGCTTTACTGTAGCTTTATATCCTTAGCCTTTTTTGTTTACTGGGTTTAGGGATAAGGCATCTAAGAATATTTCAATTTTTAGCCACCCTGCTAAGCGCAGCCGAGGAAACCAGCAGATGCTTCAGGCATATTCGGCATACATCGAGGATGCACAATCTAACACTGCAAACATTGTCGCCGGCGGAGTTGAGCGCATAGTGGACTTCGCGGAGATGACCCAAAAGCACGCAAGCACTTGGAAAGTTCGGAAGATTCGCATTGTTGCAGGTGTACCTCAGCAATGGGTGAGTACCCCAGCAGCTTTGTTGACGCAGCGTGGCAAGCTGGCTTCCTTCTACGTTGAGGTTACGGATGCCAGGCTCATCGACTGGGTCACTCGCCTTCTACGAACCTAGGCTGTTCAGTAGTGTTTGTTTTTTTTTTTTTTTCCTTTTTGGGTCCTTGGTTCCCTATACTAGGTAAGCAGCCCAAAAAGTATGTACTTTTTACCCCTAGGTCACTGAAAACCTAAGGAACAACAGGTCACGCATGGGATGCGTCAACCGCTTGCTCCCAGATGAAGAACGCCACTGTCAAGTCTGTGCATCGAATTGAGAATTTTCAACTGTGGCATAGATACCGAGCCAGGCTAGAAACTATGAGGGAAGACCATGCAAAGTACAATGTTTCCGTGTTGCCTGCAGATCTCGATCTTGATGGCGTTGAGGGCACCATGGGCCTAAGCCAGCCCCATTTGGACTGCGGAGAACCATTGGCTCGCGATGTGGACGAAAAGATTTTGCTGCATGGGACATCTTGGCAAAATGCCGACTCCATCGTCATGCATGGCTTTGATCATCGCACCTGTATGCGCGGGATGTACGGGGATGGTGTTTACTTTGCCGGTGCAGCGTGCAAGAGTCATCAGTATTCTTGCGGTGCTCACTCTGGCAAGGCTTGCAACACTTGCAAATGTGAGCGGACCCTAATCATCGCCCGCGTTGCACTGGGTGACGCCTACCACGCATCCTGCACTCAGTATGGTGCCAGAAGACCTCCCAACAGAAGTGGCGCGCCAGGCACACATGGTTCTGTGGTCGTCAACCCTGGGCCTATAAGTTGGCACCACAGCCCAACTCAAGTGCATCAGGAGTTTGTGGTATTCGACCGCGAGCAAGCGTATCCAGCATTTGTGGTCCAGTACCTTCCGCCGTGAAAAATGCGTCAACAGGCCGCCATATATACTCTCAACACCTTAGGATCCTCCTTACATTCGCTTCTTAGGCCACAGAATTCTGATGAGCAAGGGACCCACACTCTTCAGCAACCTCTTGAACCAAAGGGGCCAGACTCTCGTGTAGCCAGTACCTGGGTGTCCATCATGGCTAGAATCTAGTGGGTTCACTAAGGGCATGATTTTCGTTTTCGGTTTTCATACTCAACCCCAAAAAAACATACCAGGTGGAGCCTCCACAGGACCCTTAGTGGTCCTGTCATGTCCTGTCACACGGCGACCTCAACGCCGGGAACATCATGATCGATTCGCTGGACAGAGAAGGGGGGGGGGGGCAGGATTTCGGGATTCTAAGCGCTACAGGATGTTCGCCGAGCGCCTGACACTTTCGGATTTCGCATGCGCAGCTCCCAACTTCATAACGAAACCGGAATGCCCCAGACAAGCCACGTATCTAGACTCCTCGGAGCCTGAAAATAACCTGCTCCCCAAAACTGAATTCCCAAACTGCCGCGGCCTTCAGCTAGACTCTGAAGTCACAATACCCCAAAGAGCTGAATTGCTTGATAGCCGAGTGGTACCCTTTTCCATTCTTGGGGTTCAAGGTTCCCTTATGAAGTAACCAACCCCAAAAAGCGTACCCTGATTAGAATATGGTTACTGGCCTACCAAGATTGTACAGCATGCCACTTGGTCTGGCAGACGTAAGCCCTTGGAAAATCCCCGATACCCCCCAACCTTTTTTTCTTGGGTTGCTGCAACAGTAAGCCTTAAATGCCCTAGACCTGAACCTAAACCCAAAGAGCCCAATGCCCCTTAATGACCCTAAACCCTAAACCCGAGACCCTAAACCCTAAACCCTAAACCCTAAACCCTAAACCCTAAACCCTAAACCCTAAACCCTAACCTACCCCTAACCCTAACCCTAAACCCTAAACCCTAAAACCCGAAACCCGAAACCCGAAACCCTAAACCCTAAACCCTAAACCCTAAACCCCCTAAACCCTAAACCCTAAACCCTAAACCCTAAACCCTAAACCCTAAACCCTAAACCCTAAACCCTAAACCCTAAACCCTAAACCCTAAACCCTAAACCCTAAACCCTAAACCCTAAACCCAACCTTTTCCTAAGGATCCCGATATACCCGAGCCCCAAAAAGTCGCCAAACACGTCCGCAGGGAGTCGTGACGGCTCGGGCTACACAGCCACTGTCCCCCCGATGGTAGCGGTGCTAGACAGAACATCGTGAACCCCTGCCCTAAGCCCGAACCATACAACCCCTAAGGCCTTACCCGCCCTCATCCCTCCTACCCAGACAAGTCTTGTGCCCAAACCCCGCAAGCCCTTGGGAACTGCTGCACCCCAAGTCCCGCACAGCCTTCAGCGATAGAAGTGTTGACCCTGCCTACCACTAACTCTCGACCCCTGAACCCCAAAAACCGAGAACCCTAAGGTTCTAACCACTACTGCATGTAGCCCTGGCCTTCAATAAACCCTCTAGATCCCAAACCCCCCATATCTTCCCAAAAACCACTAAAAACCCCGACATCTTTCGACCATAGTGTCCCTTCTGGTGGCCTAATACAACCAGAAGAATCCCTAGAACCCGTAAACCCTAACCCTAAACCCTGAACCCTAAACCCTAAACCCTAAACCCTAAACCCTAAACCCTAAACCCTAAACCCTAAACCCTAACCCCCTATCTTTCGACCATGGTGTCCCTTCTGACGGCCTTTCACTGGGCGTGCGGGATTCTGACGGCTCCCTTTGGGATCTTGTGCATCTCTCAGCTGTTTAGGGTTTAGGGTTTCGGGTTTAGGGTTTAGGGCTTAGGGTTTAGGGTTTAGGGTTTAGGGTTTAGGGGGGGTATGTATCCCAAGGTTCCCTAGTACTCCCTACTACTCCCTAAGGCTCCCGAAGCTTCCCTAAGGTTTCCTAGGTACCTGAACCCCCCATGAAGCCCCCTCCCTTAAGAACCCAAAAACTGGGGAACTTGATAAGGGCATCTTAGATCCCACGAAGAGCAAGTTGGCAGTTCTCTAAATCATGGTTCCTCTGGACCCTACACCCTACACCCTACACCCTACACCCTACACCCTAAACCCTAAACCCTAAACCCTAAACCCTAAACCCTAAACCCTAAACCCTAAACCCTAAACCCTAAACCCTAAACCCTAAACCCTAAACCCTAAACCCTAAACCCTAAACCCTAAACCCTAAACCCTAAACCCTAAACCGCTACCGGGGTCTAGGGCATCAAGGGTTTGGGACGGGGCATTGTCGGTTTTAGGGTTGAGGGCTGAGCGGTTGACCTAACCCCTCAACTCGGGTCGCAGAGGATGAAAGGGCGTAGGGCGGAGCTACGGAGGAGCGCGGTGTAGGCTTCTATGATTTCGCGTTCAGGATTGAGGGTGTAGGGCTTATAGTTTGTTCCAGGCATTTGGAGCTCACCCTTCGGCTCAGAAGAACACCAAAAAACTCAAATCTTAGGGTAGACGAAGGTGGTTTTGGGTTTAGGGTTTAGGGTTTAGGGTTTAGGGTTTAGGGTTTAGGGTTTAGGGTTTAGGGTTTAGAGCCTTTTGGGGGAATTCAGGGTTTTAGGTTTACAGGTTTGTTCGAGGCTTGTTGGGCTAAGGCTTTAGCTCTCCGCTGGGCGATGGTATCTGTATGGTTTAGGGTTTAGGGTTTAGGGTTTAGGGTTTAGGGTTTAGGGTTTAGGATTTAGGGTTTAGGGTTTAGGGTTTAGGGTTTAGGAAGCCCCGACTGAGTGGATAGCTGCGCGAAGTTCCAGACGAATCTGGGCAGCTGGGCAGGCGGGCTCGAACCTCAAAACGCTATCTCGAACGCGGTTCAAGAGCCTCAGTAACTTGGCGGGTTAGGGTTTAGGGTTTAGGGTTTAGGGTTTAGGGTTTAGGGTTTAGGGTTTAGGGTTTAGGGTTTAGGGTTTAGGGGTGAGGGTGTGTAGGGTTACGGTTTAGGGTTTAGGGGTTAGGGTTTAGGGTTTAGGGTTCAGGGTGTAGGATTGAGGAGATGTGCCGCCCTTTAGACTCAATAGCCCGGCAGACCAATAACTTAAAACCCGAGAGCCTGAACCCCAAAACCCTTCGCCCTATAGACCCTAAAGCCCTAGACCCCTTGGGGCAAAGTCCTCACAAAAGAAATACATACATATATATATATATATATATATCTATATATTAGATAATATATGTAAACACATATTCTTTATGTGAAGGAACCCTAAACAAAGGGTTGACGGGGTTTGTGTAGAGAGTCTCCTGTTTTGAAGCGGCCCAAGCCACGAAAGCCAGGTCCTTTTTCATATCGAATCCCGAGAAGGTGAAGTTTGTTGAGGACAAGGCAGGGGCAGCCCGCTGTTCCAAACCCTAACCTAAACCCTAAACCCCAAACCCCAAACCCCAAACCCCAATCCTAAACCCTAAACCCCAAACCCCAAACCCTAAACCCTAAATCGCTGCTTCAGGCCCGGGGGATGCCTAGTTTTTGCGAGAGTTGTAGTGCAGGGGGGTTGTAGAGTTTTGGGTTTAGGCTGTGCAAGGGTTTAGGGTTTAGGGTTTAGGGTTTAGGGTTTAGGGTTTAGGGTTTAGGGTTTAGGGTTTAGGGTTTAGGGTTTAGGGTTTAGGGTTTAGGGCGACCCCAATACTCTAAACCCTCCCAAACCCTAAAAGGGTTTGGGGGTTGCTTTCGAGGGCTTTATTCTATAGTAGGGTTGAAGGTTGATGTGTTCCGGATGCAGGTTTAGGGTTTTCCAGTAGGGTTTAGGGTTCCGGGTTTAGGGTTCAGGGTTTCGGGTTTAGGGTTCCGGGTTTATCTGAGTCTGAGGGCTTGGGTCTCTCGATGTTTCCCCACATGACCCAACAGCCGCGCGCGATCATCAGAAGCGTTTCGGGTTTAGGGTTAGGGTTTAGGGTTTAGGGCTTAGGGTTTAGGGCTTAGGGTTTAGGGATTAGGGTTTGGGGTTTTGGGGCCCTCTTTATTCTTGCCAGGTCTCTCTTCCTCTGCCGAAGCGAGTGCCCCTTGGCAGCAGAGAGGCAAGTTTAGGGTTTAGGGTTTAGGTTCCCTACCCCTCCCACCTGCCGGGGTCTTAGTCGGGAATGAGGGAACGAGGTACCCTATTTCTACCCTTTAAGGGCTTATATGCAGCCCGAATTCCCTTCGTTCGCTACGAAGAACCAGGGGACCACTGCAACATGTCGGAACTTACTGGCTCTAAACAAGGAGTCCTAAAGCCCTAATTTAAGAGCCTCCGGCTCAAGCCGCCGACCCCGCTGGAGCATAGTTGAAAGGTTTAAACGCGTTCGTTAGGTCACAGGATGCCAAAGTTGGTGTAGGGGGTAAGGGGGGGGGGGGGTGGGGGGGGGCGGGTAGGGGGGGGTAGGGGGGGGGTAGGGGGGGGGGAGGGGGGGGGGGGGGCAGGGGGGGGGGCTGGGGGTTGCCAAAGAAACCGCCTATGGTCCGTGAGTTTATGCCGTGTGGGTTGCCTGGCCCTCCATGGAAAAGCTGCCCGGGGACCCCCCCTTATCCCCCCCCTCCCCCCGGGGAGGTTTTCACCTCCTTTTCCCATCCAACACGCCGCCAGGGTCGGCGGATTACACCCTAAGCCCCAAACGTTAAAACCCTAAACCCCGTAATTCTCTAGAAATAAAATCGATCAAAATCAGAAGGGCACTCCTTATCCCTAAACCCTATAAATCCTAAACCCTTCTCGTTCGTTCTCCGATTTCAAATACAGTAGTCTGGTTTAACAAAGCTGGGGCACAAGCTATTGGAATCCACGCGGTTCAGGGGTAGGATATACTTCCAAAGACCCATTCGCTTGTTGCTAGGGCCCTTAAGGGCACAACCAGGTCCCTGGAAGGATAGGGCATACCCTGTACTTTCAGGTTCCAAGGACCTAGCTGTTGTGCGCAGACGGGCTCCGTCAACCAAACCCCAGCACCTCAAATCCCTAAAAGCCTAA